TATTGCTTCCATTCACTCCAACTCTCTTGGACTATAAGCACAAACCACATCCCGATTAGCTCTAACACCCAATGATTTTGCAGCCTTTGAGGTAGCAATACACCTCTCATTAACACCAGGCCCCACATGCTACAGATGTGAGAGGCACCCGAGAGTCAAATGTGCATGCTCTGACCTGAGGGCAAATCCCAGAGTTAATGTTTATCACAACTTAATGAAAAATTTTAAGTGTTTATCACTTAGCCTAAAAATTAAGTTTAGGGCAGGGCAAGAGGATGGTGAGAATTAAGTGAATTAAGAAGTCCAACTGAGTTCTGGCTTATTAATAAAAATTTGGTTGCAACTCATCCTCTCAGGGTTTACGTTTTAAGTCAACAAGATAAGAACTGAGAAAAGCCAAACCAACCTTGAAAATCTCTGGACTGACAGCTGGTCAGGCTAGATCACTGGTTCTCAACTGAGGGTAATTGTGCTACCCTGCCAGGGGACACTGGCAACCTCTGGAGACATTTTTGGTTATAATACCTGGGGAAGGGTCCTACTGGTGTATAGTGAATTAAGGCCCGGGAAGCCAATCAACACCCTAAAATGCACAGGGTAGCCCCACAACAAAGAATGATCTGGTTCCATATATCCATAGTGCTGAGGCTGAGAACCCATAGCTAGAAGATCAAGCAATGAAAAGCAGGACAGAAAACATAGGAGGACCAGCTCCGCTGGCCTCCATCATGGGCTGACCCCCAGGGTCATCTCATTCAGTGGGGTAGATTCATCTACACTAGTCAGATTCATTTCTTTTTCTTTCTTTTTTTCTCTCTCTCTTTGCTGAGCACTTAAGCTAAATATGTCTACAACATGAGCCCACTGCAGTAAAAATAACTACCATTTACTGACTGTTTATTACTGGGCGCTGAGACAGGTGCTAAATAATTTATATGCATTAACTTAGCGAATACTCCCAGCAACCATGAGATATTATAGTTACGACCATTCCCATATTACTGTAAGGAAACTGAGGATCAAAAGGGTTAAGAATTTGCTTAAAGGCACTCAGAGAATACAAAGGGAGAGTCAAAACATAAATCCAATACACAGGGCAAAACCTGTGCTTCACCATCACTTATCCTAGTGGGTTTTAACTGCTGATGGTTCACTCACTGCCCACTCTGGGACACTTTGCAGTATCTGAAGACATATTTGGTTGTCATGACCCCCAAGGCAGGGACGCAGGGGAGGATGTGTGCTACTGGTATCTGGGTAGAATCAGGAATGCCACTATGATGCTAAACATCCTACAAGGTATAGGGCAGCCTCCACCACAGAGAATCATCCAATCTGCCCTAACCGGTTTGGCTCAGCGGATAGAGCATCTGCCTGTGGACTCAAGGATCCCAGGTTCGATTCCGGTCAAGGGCGTGTACCTTGGTTATGGACACATCCCCATTAGGGGGATGTGCAAGAGGCAGCTGATTGATGTTTCTCTCTCATCAATGTTTCTAACTCTCCCTCTCTGCAAAAAATCAATAAAGAATATATATATATATATATATATATATATATATATATATATATATATTTAAATATATTTTATTGATTTTTTTTACAGAGAGGAAGGGAGAGGCATAGAGAGCCAGAAACATTGATGAGAAACATCGACCAGCTGCCTCTTGTACACCCCCTACTGGGGATGTGCCTGCAACCAAGGTACATGCCCTTGTCCGGAATCAAACTCGGGACCTTTCAGTCCACAGACCAACGCTCTATCCGCTGAGCCAAACCGGTTTTGGCTAAAATAAAATATATATATTTTAAAATCATCCAACCCAAAATGTCAATGGGGCCAAAGTTGAGAACCCTGCTCAGCTTTCTACCATGTATGTCCACAAGTCAGTAAGAATTCAAATGTATTAATAATGTATATGATAATGCAGGATCTAAAACCAAAAATTTCCTATAACTCAAATACACTCTGCTCCCCTCTCCCTATTCTTCGTTAACTTTACCAAGGTCAATATGCTGCCATCAAAGCCTGCTGCAAGTCTACAATGCAGATTAACTTCAGAGGTAGGTTGGTTAGTTTGGGATGTATCAACAGCAAAATTTCCAGGCAGAAGAGAATATCCCAAAGCACAACTGGACTTTAAAAGTCACAGACTTGTACAGGAATACCAAGCAAGGGCTATGGGTGCTGTTGTCAGCATCCCTGAAGAGATCACAATGGCAACAAGGGCCAACAAGATGCTGTATTGGGTAAAGCATAGGAAATGTTTCTTTGTAGATAAGCAGTCCCACTCAAGCCCGTGGTTTCTCAACCCTGGCTGCTATCTAAATGTATAGATGCCCAAGGCCCACCCAACATCTCACAGAATCAGAATAGGTGTGGTATGGGGACTGAGCATTTCTGGTTTTAAAAAAGCTCCCTAGACAATCCTGCTGCCCAGACCGGGTGGCTAGCCAATGCCTCAGACTCACATAGAGGTGGCAATGGCCCAGAGAAGAGACAGAGGGTGTGAGGATGGATCAGCTTAGGATCCCTGTCTAGAAAGACAGAATCCAAGAGAGCATTTGGAGCTTAAATAGCAAGAGGGAAAGCACCTAGACGGGGGCAGTTCCTAAGGCTTCAAAATTCATAGGCAAGGGAGTCTTAGCTTACAGTGGATAAGAGTTTAACATCCAAGCCAAATCCAGAAATGGAGTCAATGACTAATTAAAGGATGGCAGAAATATGTGAGGCATAAAAAGCCCTGAAAGTTGATTTCCTGAGGACAACTATGCTAGAACTAGTGCCAGAGGCAAAGTATTAGGTGAGTGTGGCTTTCATTATACAAAAACATTCCATTTCTCTATTTTACACTGACCCATCCAACTATGTAATTTATAATTGACAGCTGATGTGTCAGGTATATGCTAGAAATGGTATCCTTGGGAAACAGAAATCTGTAATTTCCTCTTTATGCTAAAAGATATCTACCAATGAAGGTCCTCACTGAATTCATTCATTCATTCATTCGACAAACATTTCTTGGATAACTACTCTGTGCCAGATGTTGTAACTCCATCAGTAATAATGACAGGCAGAAAGCCTTGCCCTGGTGGAGTTTATATTCCAGTGGAGGAGTAGTTGAACAAATAAGTAAACCTAGCAAGCAAGGTGGTGATTAAGTGCTGTGGGTAAAATAAAGCAGGGTAAAGGGGATAGAGAACGTGGATACAATTTAACATAGGTGGCCAGAGAAAATCTCAATAATAAAGTAATCTGTGAGTAAAAATCTGACAGAGGCAAGGGAGTGGGCAAGTGAGTAAAAGAGAGGAAGCACCAGGTCCAAAGGCATAATGGAGGGAGCTAATGGATTACTCAAGGGACACGGAGAAAGCCAGAATTAGGGAGAGAGGGGTGGGAGAGGAGGTCAGGGAGGTCTCACTATGGCTTCTGGGTTAAGCAGTAAGGGTAGAAGGAAAACCCAAGTGGCAATAGTGTTGGTGGTGAGTGGTCATCCTCTAAAATAATTTTTAAGATAGAACAGACAGGATTTACTGTGGCAAATAAGAGGAGTCAAGGTGACTTTAAGGTTTTGGGCCTGATTCAAAAGAACGGACTTGCCATTTACTACAATGGGTGAAAGATGATGGCATGAACAGGTTTTCGGAGAAAAGACAAGGATTTTGTTTGATATGCCTATTAGACATCCAAATAGAAATGGCGAATATGATATTGGGTATATGAGTCTTAAGACCAAGAAACTGAAGCAGGCAAAGAGGTAAATATATAAAGTAAGTCATACTGATTCCAATTTGTCCAGTCCCTCTACTGCCTTTAAATCTTATGAATGCTCTATAGACTCCTTTATCTTTTAGAAGGGATGTGCCATAAAATGACCACGGTAAGAGGTGCTTCTGAAGCCAGACCGCATTGATTCACATCCCTTGCTCCTTATTGGCTGTACGACCTGCTTTGTACAAATAGCTACAGTACCTACCTCATAGAGCTTTTGTATTACGGGAGAAAACACAGGGTAAGCAAGACACGGAACATTACCTAGCACCATCACAAATGCTCCACCAGGGTGAACACTTAGCATGCACTCACGCGGTTCCCTATGGGAACCTCAGGACACCCTCCAATAACAGGGAGCATGGTACTGGGGATCAGGGCCAGGCAGGGAGACAGCTCGCTAGTAGCTGTGCACCTAGAAAACGAGGGAGCTAAAAATAGGCCTAGGAAGTCCTGAAGCTAAGGCGGTATCCACACCACTGTTGGTGTAAGCAGACATCGGCTTATGGAGTGTTTCCTCCAGGGATTCGGCTCTGTAACCTTGTCATAAACGTTCGGGTGGGATGTCAGCGCCCTACAGGGGAGATGATCACAGTCTCTCTCTGTCTCTCTCTGGAATTGCAGCAAAAAAGGGCCAAAGAGGAGCCAGGGCTTTCAGGGCCCACATCCTGCGGCCGGGCCTACATGCTGGTAGAGTAGGGGCGACTCTCAGGTCGCCACGAAGGATCTGGGGGAACTGGCGGGAACTGGGGGCCGAGTTGCGGGCGGGCGGTGCAAACAGACCCGGCTTCATCGGTCCTCTGAATGGGGAGGGCCCGCAGAGGGTGAGAACCCCAAAGGATTGGTGGGGGGGGGGTCAGACAGCGAGGCCCGGGACGGGGGTGGGAGGGAGGCCGGGTGCCGGAGAATGAGGGGGCGGGGAGGGAGTGTGGCGCGCTGGAACCACCACCAGGCCCCGAGATCTATTTACAACCGAGGCCAAGGCGACGAGGCCGCGCCTCCCATGCCTACCAGCCCTCGGCCTGACCCGCGAGGCGGAAGGGTGTCCGGGCCGCGGCCCCAGCCGCCTTCGAGACCCTCTAGCCGGGGGGCGGCAGAGTCGGGGCTGCCGGGAGTGATGGGCCGAGCCGGTGAGCCCTGCCTGAGGGGACGCCATTGGGGACCGCTGCGGGACCCACGGCGCCACCATCTGGGAGCAGGCAGGCCCCCCGCACTCCGGGGTGCTCACCCCTCGGGCCTGTGGACTTTGGACCTTCCCCCGCCCGTTCGCCGGCCGCCAGCTGGACCTCGACGGCGCCTCCCCTACCTTCGTTCGCCAGGTCCGCCATTTTACTTCCTCAAGCCCTCCCACAAGGCTGCGCGCTGGCCGCCGCTCGCCTGCTTTCTGCCAGAAACTCTCGCGCGTGCGCACTTCCCAAGCCGACTCCGGGAGAGGAGGGCAGCTCGCGCCTGCGCGCCGAGCCTGGCGCGGAGTGGAGCTCCGCGTTGCTGTCACCGCCAGGCCCGGTTCCGAGCACTCGCCGGCGCCCTAACCGCCCCCGCCTCCTTTTCCCGCCGATCGAGGGGGCGTGGCCAGGGCCGGGCGCATGCGCAGTGCGCCGCGCGAGCGTTCGGGACCTGGGAGAATACACGTTCAGTAAGGGGGCGCGCCTGGCGCTGGGTCTTGACGCCCCGGTTTACTGCTTGTTTTCCAGGGGATCCCAGTGGTGGGAGAGTGAGCCACCCAGAGCGCCGCGATGGAAACCTTCTTCTAGGTAAATCCTGGGGGCGAGGGGGGATGTGTGTGTCTGCGGACAGGGGCAGGGGGGCTTTCCACACGCACAGGTCAGAGGCCAGAGGGGGTGGCCTGCTAGGGGTTTTTGGCTCCCTGTCACTTCAGGCTTTAGTTTCCCCTTCTAAGGGGCAAGTCCGTTGGGCAAATGCTTTCTTGGGGAGTGGTTGGGGTGAGCATGCAGAAATCAGAGGTTAAACATAACTGGCCAAAGGTGGGGGTGTCCGTGGGGGACACAGGTGTTGGCTGGGAGACCCAGCGCAAAGGGACTTGATCTCTCTGGGCCAATAGAATGGGAGCTCCAGGATGGCTACACCTCGATGTCATGAATGGAACAGCGCCCTGGCAAGGACCAGGGCCTGGAGTTTCATCGTAAATGGGCTGATCAACCCCACAGGCTGATGTAAGAATCTAGAACGGGCCTCATTCTAGAGTCACCTGCTATGAACCTCTCAGAACACCCTGTGGGTTCTGCCTCACCAAAGTCTAGCCCAGACCCACTTGTTCTCATCAGCTTGGCTGTCAGCACCCCAGGCCAGACCATCCTCCTTTTTTTCCTGGAAGGCTGGACAGCGTCCTCTCTCTCTGCTTTCCTTCCTTTCATTCTTCTGGAGCTCCAGGCTCTGTTCTGCACAAGCAGCATGCGCAGGAATCTTAAAAATATAAATTGGGCCAAAACCGGTTTGGCTCAGTGGATAGAGCGTCGGCTTGTGGACTGAAAGGTCCCAGGTTCGATTCCAGTCAAGGGCATGTACCTTGGTTGCGGGCACATCCTCAGTTGGGGGGGACGGGGCGGGCAGAAGGCAGCTGGTCGGTGTTTCCCTCTTATTGATATTTCTGACTCTTTATCCCTCTCCCTCTCTGTAAAAAAATCAATAATATATATATATATATATATATATATATATATATATATATATTTAAAAATACATATAAATTGGATTAAGGGCACATCTTTCCGTAATGCTTCCAAAGGGCTTTTGCTGAACTTGGAATTGACTCTAAACGTCTTCTTCAGACTTACACAGGCCCCTGTGCTTTGCTCTCAGGCTCCCCCTTACTTATTGCAGTTCAGCCACAGGGGTCTTTCCATCCCTGGAGCACACTAGACTCCTTCCACCCTCAGGATCTTTGATTTTTTTTTCTTTTTTCCCCCCAATATATTTTATTGATTTTTTACAGAGGGGAAGGGAGAGAGATAGAGAGCTAGAAACGTCGATGAGAGAGAAACATCGGCCAGCTGCCTCTTGCACACCCCCTACCGGGGATGTGCCCGCAACCAATGTACATGCCCATCAGGATCTTTGATTTTTTTATCTCTCTTCTTGGGACTTGTGTCCTATGGCTTGTCTAGGTTTGAATTCCAGTTTCGCTCCTTTTCCAGGGGGATCTAAAGGAGGAGGTCATCTAGCTTGTGAGCTAAGAATACTGTTACATTTCTAATTGTTGGAGAAAGACAGAAGAGTATTATCTTATAACGTGAAAATTGTATGAAATGTAAATTGGAGTGTCCATAAACAGTTTTATTTTAAAATAGCCATATCCTATATAATAAAAGCCTAATATGCAAATTGTCTCTTCTGGCAGTTGTTCAATCAGGAGTCGAGTTGGATTGGGAGACTGGGAGTTCAGTAGCTCGCTATGACATGCGCTGACCACCAGGGGGCGGCGCAGATGGAAGGAAGGCCCTGGCCAGCAGCAGGAAGGCCCAGATCTGCCCTGATCGCAATTCTTTCCCTGCCTTTTTATTGGTTTAAAGTTATGTTAAATAGATACTGTATATCACCATTTAAAATTGAAAACTGCCAGCCATGAATAGAGATGACTGTAAAAATAAACAGGGTCCTGGCTGGTGTGGCTTGGTTGAGTGCTGTCCCATGCATGGAAAGGTCACAGGTTGGATTCCCAGTCAGGGCAAATGTCTTGGTTGTGGGGTTGATCCCCAGTACAGGGCTTACAGGAAGTGGCAGATGGATGTTTTCCCTTATTCCTTCCTCTCTTAAAAAAAAAACAAACAAACAAAAAAACCCAAAAACATATTTTTAAAATGTTAAAAAATAAAACAGGTAAACAAAATGAGGTTTTAAAATTTTGGGTGGCTACTGTTGCCTGCCAAGGTGCTGAGCCTGCTTTTTCTTTGAGGTAAAGAGATTAGCAAAGTATTAGAGGGGGATGGGATTAAAGGCATATTATCACTTACCTAAACTTTCTCCTTGACATGATGGGAAGGTGTGACAGATCATTGAAAATGGGGTAGCTATATAAACCATGTGATTTGGTGTCATTTAATGCCATGTCTACATGTCTCCTAAAGTCATTTCATACACTACATTCATCCCACACTTTGGGAAACTCCCAGAAACATGTCATCACTTGGTAAATATAATCCAGTTGTGGTTTTTCAAGGCACATGGTAGGCCAACTGAATTTCCACTGGTTATACAGTATTCATCGCAGTGTCTGTGGCTGCCAACATCGTGCCCCACAGGCTTTCTTTTGATATCTTTATTTGGTTTCCTTGAAGAATTAACTTAGTCAATATTTATTTATTAAACAAATATTTGCTCATCACCTTCTCTGGTGGTTTGAAAATATGGCCCCAAATTATTTTACCTTCCATCAAGCAGTGAAGTCTCTGTCCCTTTCTCTTTCATGGGGATGAGCTTATTACTGGTCCATCAACAGAATCTAGTAGAAATGACACTAGGGAACTGACAAGACTAGGACATGACAGCGTGAGGGGAGGGAACTTCCGCCTGCTTTCCAGGAACACTTGCTCTTAAAAGTCTTCAGCCATCACGTAAGCAGTCCAACTGCCCTGAGGCTGCCATGTTGTCAGGAAGCTGAAACACAGAGACCACAACCCTCCTGAGAGAGAACTGCCCGGCCTATGCCTTGCTGCTTCCCACCTACAGAAACCATGAGAAATAAATTAAATGATGGTTGCTGTTATAATCCAGTAAATTTGGGGGATATTTGTTATGCAGCAATATCTTCCACCAGACCTACTATGCATCAGACACTGCTTTACATGTTGGGTTCCAAGATGAACAAGACAGACCTTGCCTTCCCGGAACTTTGCATTCTTCTGTGGGGAGACTGACAATAGGCAGGTAAGCAAAATAATTTGAGATAGTGCCCAGTGCTGCAAAGAAAATAAAACAGCATATTGTGACAGAGTGACAGAAGGGATACTTTAGTTTGGTTGGTCAGTGAAATCATCTCTGAGGGGTGCCATTTCAGTGGAAGATCTGTAGGAGAAGCATTCTGGACAGAACAGTGAGTGCAAAGGTCTGAGGCAGGAACCAGGATTACACACTAATTACACACTGATTGGTGAGCTGGAGGAGCAGTGAGGAGCTCTGTGTGGCCAGAACAGAATGAGGAAATGCAGTTAGGGAGGGGCGAGAGCGAGGAATTTGGAGTTTTTCCTAATGCAAGGCTTGGAAGTGGGAAGTGGAGGGATCCAAATTGCTAACCAGCCTCTCTGCTGCCTGCTTCCTCCTTAGCTTACTAGGAGACAAGTCTAAGGTTCCCCTGTGCCCGGCTGAGCTCTGAGAACTGTGAACTTCCTTATCCACAGCCAAGATGGAAAACGGCTTTTATAGTTGGGCTCCAGGTAAAAGGCTTCACAACTGTAATCCAGTTCTTGTTTTCCCATCATGGGCAGGGAGCCGGCCCTGTGAAAAAGTATCTGCCGGGTGCCCAGCCCATACTGAGGTCAAGGACCTGGAGATGAATCAGATACAGTTTCCTCCATCAGGGAGCTCAGAGTCAGGTGGGGACAGGGGGGAGGCATCCGGCTGCCGCTCCTGCTCAGCACCATTCCCTGTCTTCCCTCAGTTCTATGAGTTTCTCACAGTAGGATGTCCAATGACACTGACACTGACACAGAGGGCAACCCCTGACCTAAGCTGGGTGCAGCAGTTAAATATGGTACGGAAATACTTACTTTACTCTATTTTATTTATAATTAAAATATTGTTTAACTTTTTCCATGGCAGTGAAGCTCAGCTGTTTAGATGTTGTCCTGTGCACCAAAAGGTTGCCTGTTCAATTCCCAGTTAGGGCACATGCCCTGGATGGGAGTTTGAGATCCTTGTAGGGAGGGTGCAGGAGGCAGCTGATAGATATTCCGCTCTTTCATGGATGTTTCTCTTTCTCTTTCCCTCTCCCTTCTTTCTCTAAAAATCAATAAAAATATTATTTAAAAGTTTTCACTTTCAAATTAAATTCAGACTTCCCAAAAATCAGAAATAGTGTCGACATTACACATAGCTTTCACCCAGATCCCCCAACATTCACATCTTAGGTAAGTGAAATGACTAAAACCAGGAAGTTAACATTAATGCAATACTGTTCACAATGTACAAACCTTGGTCATATATCATCCTTTCATCACTAACATTTATTTTCGTTCCAAGATCCAGTCCAGTATCCCTCCATAAATGACATCCATGTTGATATTGTTTCTCCATAGCCCTTCAGTATGGATTAATTCCTCAGCCTTATTTTTTCTTAACCATGACATTGGTACAAGTACTGTCCTATATTTTGTAGAATGGCCTTAATTTGTTTTTAATATTTCTCTTGATTAAATTCTGGTGATGCATTTTGGGCAGGAATAATGTGGGAGTGATTGTTGTGTTCTCAGGGCGTCCTATTAGGAGGCACTTGATGTAGATTTGTGTCTTCACTGATAACTTAGATCACTTGGTCTAGAT